CCACAGCTTCAACTAGGGGAAACCAGTACTTTAGGGTAAAAAGGAACGACTGTGTCCATTGCCACTGAGTGATATACAGTGTGTTCCCCTGGAGAGGCAATGCCCTTTAATCTGTGTGCATTCTTGTGGTTGCTCAGATATTGGATGTACACCAGCATGCAGTCTGTGCTACAGTAGTTATGTAATAGTCAGCCTTTTAGTAGTAATGGACCTTTTTCACATTTCCGGGTTTCTCAGCAGCGGAAGTCGTCATAGTTGGGTTAACTTGAAGAGCAGTGAATGGGAGAGTACCACAAATATATTTTTTGCATTCCCATTTGCTCAAATAGCAAAAGAAAAACTCCACGATAGTGTTTTCGTGACTTTCAATAAAAGGAAAAAAATTGAGAGAGACTGATATCGGCTGTCAGAAGAGAGAACATTGTCAAATTTACCATCCCTCCCATAGACGCTGCATTAGAAACACCCGTGCATTAGCGTAAACTGTTTTTTTAAATAATTTGATGCAAAGGTGATATAATACAAAGAATAGTGTTATAAATGTACATACATTAAAAAAAAAATACAAATATGAAAAACTTTCGAGGACTTGCGATGCTGATGACCGTTAAGCGTGTCTTCACAGTCTTGTGAAAAGGGTCCATTAAAAGATGTACTAAGTGTTCTGTTTATTACAATCATTTGTAAGAGATTCACATTTCTGAGTCAGGGGACAAAATCACAATTATTACGTCTTACGAACCAACATTATTATACTCGTTTTTTTCTTTTCTTTGGCATTTAAGATAAAAATGACCAAAATGTGACTGATAACACACTGTTAAAAACAAGTTTAATAATTGTGGGAATATTTTCATAATACACAGATTTTCATTAAAAAAATGTAGACAGCACTAAATAGAGCATAAAAAACTGAATCTTGAAAAACTATTTTGTAATACTGAAGGAGTAAATTAATTGTAAATTAATAGGAAATTTGATATATTTTTTGACAAATAGTAACAGCATGTGGTGGGGATTAAAAAGACTAAGGAGACATACTATAATAATAAAGTGCACTGCAGAAAGTTCAGCCAATCAAAAATGTTATTCATTACAATTTCAGTACAATAATCTGCAGTAATTGAGTAAAACAAAGTGTGCAAAATATGGAAAGCAGAATAATTAAAACAACATATGGAGTTTGTATGTGTACTGTGCAAAACAACGTGGTCCAGTCAAAGCAGCAATATTACATACAATAATACAGTAAATGATATAGCTGGCTTGATTCTTAGATTCCATTTTTCAAATGGCTTGGAAGAAAGTTAATGTAAAATTTAGCATTACTTCACTTGCTCTCCACTGGATCCTCTACAGTGAATGGGTGCCATCAGAATGATTCAGACGAGACAACATTGGAGAAAGCAATACAGTATTATGGATAGAAGAAACAATGCTTTTAAGTAAAAACATCTTAAAGATACATTTGTTTATTGCAAACACACAGCTTTTCACTTCACAAGACATTAATTGATGGACTGGAGTCGTGTGGATTACTTGTAGATTATTGTGATGTTTTTATCAGCTGTTTGGACTCTCATTCTGACGGCACCCATTCACTGCAAAGGATCCATTGGTGAGAAAGTGATGTACTGCTAAATTTTTCCAAATCTGTTTCAATGAAGAAATAAACTCATTTACATTTTGGATGGCCTGAGGGTGAGTGCATTTTCAGCAATTTTCATTTAAAGTGATTTCAACCAAATCTGAGCAAAGGTCATTTACTTGGAATATTAGCAAAAACTCGTTGAGGGTCAAAGAAAGGGTAAAAACACTGAAAGAAATATTGATGCAAACAAACAAAAGGCCTATATTGA